GGACCACCCCCGACGTATTTTCCACCTGCCTTTTTTGATTCACGAATAGGCTCATATTTATCAATAATTTTAAAAGCAATCTTGTTTGAGATTTATCTCCATATACAGAATTATCTCGAATGAATTTTACCCTTATTAAGAACTCGCCATTATCAATCGCATTTAAAATTTCTTGAGCCCGCTTTTCAGTCATCCCAGCCTCAAATTTTTTTGATTCTATTTCTTGTTCCACATGTTCTAACCAGGCTTTACTTTCTTTATCTGATGCTCTATAAGCATCTACTGCCAATTTTATGATTTCATTGATTTCTTCTTCTTCTAAATAATTCTGATATAGGCATTGTAAATATACCTTCTGCATAGCTTCATCTTCATTTTCTGCTCCTAATATTACACTGGCCAAATCTTTCTCTTTAGCTTCTGTAAACCAGGTTGAGAAAGCATATTCGGCTCCATCTACTTTAAACATATTCTTTGCGGTCTGAATTCCATTTTGCCATATTACACGATGCTCTTCATTATATGGAAATCGAACTGGCCATGGTACTTCTACATCTAAATCTAGAAATCCTTCTTCGTGAATAGGCAATTCTTGAACAGGTTGCAATTCTATATTATCTAATGGTGTGGTTTGTTAAATTACTATTTCTTCTGATTTAGTAAGTCTACCTTCACGATGAGCTTGGGTACGAGGGCCTGGACCAGCTTCAGGAGAGGCATAGCCTCGAGTCTCTGACTCATTAATTTTTGGCTGTACCATTGGAGATGTTTCACGCTGAAGATTTGCTTCCTCGATTTTAGGTTCATCAAAAAATCCTTGCTCTTCATGCTTTTCTTCTTCTGTTGCAGATCGGAAATATGCATTTGGATCCAGTTACAATAATTCATCATAAAGAGCTTTGGTTTTGGCCAAATTTTTTGGCTGACCACGATCCTTGTCACCTAATTCTTTGACTTTTTTTCGTAATCTCGATCCCCATTGTTTAACAGACTCGCCTGATTTTCTAGCATTGGGATCTTTTACCACTTGAAATTGCGAATCTAAATTAGACAAGGGTTCAGAGCTAGAAACTGGCACAGTTGCTTGTAATATATTTTGAGGTGCACAAGGGTGCTTTCTTTCAGTTAAATGATACTTGAATTTTTGGTTTGTTGCGAATGTATCGCCACATCTTGGACAAGGTCCATATCTATATATAGCTAACCGATTCATATATATTACCTTAAATATTCTTTTCTTTAAATTTAAATTTTATCCTATATAGTCTAACTTAAGTATATAAGAAGGTCATTGGAGAGCCAAAAAACGCGTTCCTTGCACTTTCTGTGCGAAGCCTACTGCCTCTGCTTCTGGCCGTTGCCAGGCTCAT